CTACTGCAACTGTCTTCAGTTCCTGCTTGTTCTTGGGGCATTTTCCCTTCAGTTTTGTCTTCAGCAAGTGAAATGCATGCTCAATCGGATTCAGGTCAGGTGATTGACTTGGCCATTGCATAACATTCCATTTCTTTCCCTTAAAAAACTCTTTGGTTGCTTTTGCAGTATGCTTTGGGTCATTGTCCATCTGCACTGTGAAGCGGCGTCCAATGAGTTCTGAAGCATTTGGCTGAATACGAGCAGATAATATTGCCCAAAACACTTCAGAATTCATCCTGCTGCTTTTGTCAGCAGTCACATCATCAATAAATACAAGAGAACCAGTTCCATTGGCAGCCATACATGCCCACGCCATGACACTACCCACCACCATGCTTCACTGATGAGGTGGTATGCTTAGGATCATGAGCAGTTCCTTTCCTTCTCCATACTCTTCTCTTCCCATCACTCTGGTACAAGTTGATCTTGGTCTCATCTGTCCATGGGATGCTGTTCCAGAACTGTGAAGGCTTTTTTAGATGTCGTTTGGCAAACTCTAATCTGGCCTTCCTGTTTTTGAGGCTCACCAATGGTTTCCATCTTGTGGTGAACCCTCTGTATTCACTCTGGTGAAGTCTTCTCTTGATTGTTGACTTTGACACACATACACCTACCTCCTGGAGAGTGTTCTTGATCTGGCCAACTGTTGTGAAGGGTGTTTTCTTCACCAGGGAAAGAATTCTTCGGTCATCCACCACAGTTGTTTTCCGTGGTCTTCCGGGTCTTTTGGTGTTGCTGAGCTCACCGGTGAGTTCCTTTCTATTAAGAATGTTCCAAACAGTTGTTTTGGCCACGCCTAATGTTTTTGCTATCTCTCTGATGGGTTTGTTTTGTGTTTTTCAGCTTAATGATGGCTTGCTTCACTGATAGTGACAGCTCTTTGGATCTCATCTTGAGAGTTGACAGCAACAGATTCCAAATGCAATTAGCACATTTGAATGGAACTCTGGACCTTTTATCTGCTCATTGTAATTGGGATAATGAGGGAATAACACACACCTGGCCATGGAAGAGCTGAGAAGCCAATTGTCCCATTACTTTTGGTCCCTTGACAAGTGGGAGGCACATATGCAAACTGTTGTAATTCCTACACCATTCATCTGATTTGGATGTAAATACACTCAAATTAAAACTGACAGTCTGCAGTTAAAGCACATCTTGTTTGTTTCATTTCAAATCCATTGTGGTGGTGTATAGAACCAAAAATGTTAGAATTGTGTCGATGTCCCAATATTTATGGACCTGACTGTATATATATATATATATATATATATATATATATATATATATATATATATCTCAAAATATAACATTTATATAACACACACACTACTTTAATTATCTATATACCAATACCTATACTAGCAAAATGGGGAGAAATGTGCTGTTTTTAGGGTAATTAATGAAGATGTGGTGTGACTGGGTAGTGAGGCAGAACACACACATACACACACATTCCATCAAGAATCTGTAAGAAGTACAGTATATATGCCATCATTCTCTCGTCTAGAACCTCTGTTACAGCAAACACACATGGCATTATTAATGCATGTATCCTTTTAGTCACAAAAAATAAAGCTGTGTACCACTTTATTGTCAGTTACCTGACAGTTCTTTAATTTCTTCATCCTCTGTTTTGGGAGTTTTGTTGTTACTGAAAAAGACAAAAACAATTCAATATAACTCTGAATTAAAGCGTTACTAAGCTCATGACCATGCATTCACTATATCTAGTGCATCTAAAGAGTATCTAGAGCAGTTTTGGGACTTCAATCAGTGCCCAGCAGAGCACTGGTGAAAGCTTGTAGGAGGAGTTTTCATTCCTACCTGATGAGGCTGCAAGACCCCTCCCTGACCTCTGTCTGGACAGCGCTGATAGGCCCTGTACTGATCACATGCACTCTTCCAAGAAACAAAAAAAAATGCTTTAGCAATACACACCAACCTGAGCATGTGCAGTTAGCCCCAAAGGCTCTGTTCTATCAGCAGATGAATTGGGGACTTTGTAAGAAGGGGAGCATCAGAGAAGACAGGATCAAACATCCTATTTACACAACGCAAAGGATTAACCCCTTAGGTTCCACAGTGAGTATAAGAAGCATGCTTTACTGCATATAAAGACTGATTTTACTGTTGTGGGTTTAGTAACACTTTAAGAACTATAGAACCCAAAGAAGGAGTATTAAATATATCTGAACATTAACTCTTAAAGCCCAGCAACAGTCAAAGTTTTTTTTATTAGATTAGAATAGGGTGAGGAAAAAACTATATCCTCTGCTAGGTTTTTGTGACTCCACTGGTACATTATCAATTATTAGAGAATCTTTGAATTTGTTTATCTGGTGCATTATTTATTCACTCCAGCAGTACTCAAGCACTCCAGTAGGTTGGGTTTACAAGCATCACAAACTCAATAATGCTGCTGCTTACCCCGCAGCAGAAGCTGGGATTCTAAGGAGCTCTTTATTCTAAGACACATATAAACGTTTTTACCTTGCATGATGTAAGAAAATCGGGTGAAAGACTAGAAAAGCTCATTTTGTCCATTGATAACTTATGGATCGTTTAAAGGATAAGTTTACCTTTCACAACATGATACATGTTATGAATAACCCCTGACCAAACCCCCCCCACGCTCCAGATATTCTCTTCCCGCTAGCTGTCAAAATAAAAAATAAAAAACCCAACGCGGTTGTGCGTGGCTCCTCCTGCCCAGCCACATCACTCATTTACAGTCCTCTGTGAATGAGAAACGAGTCCTGACAGTCTTTGTGACTTGTCAGTTGATAGTTAATTGATTCTTCCTATCAGTATATCTGCTTGCCCGTACATCCCGAGACCTGCATGGCACTAGCGATTAGGTAATTGCAGGTGCAATGCTTTACAGGCTCCTGCAACAAAATATAATGAACGCATTTTTTTTACCTGCAAAAAAATTTGCATTTATTATTTTTTAGCAAAAGGTGAATTTATCCTTTAACTCAGTGGTTCTCAACCTGTGGGTCGCGACCCCTTTGGGGGTCGAACGACCCTTTCACAGGGGTCGCCTAAGACCATCGGAAAAAAACACATATTTCTGAGGTGTAAAGAGCAGCTACTGTGTAGAAAGCAGCTGCTGTGTTGAAAGCAGCTACTCTGTTAAAAAGCAGCTACTGTGCTGAAAGCAGCAGTATTGGAGGTAAAATGACACTTCATGAATTATAATTACTGGGTAAATAATGTTATGATTGGGGGTCCACACAACATGAGGAACTGTATTAAAGGGTCGCGGCATTAGGAAGCTTGAGAACCACTGCTTTAACTGGTTCCCACTAGCAATTCCTAGAACAATGCTCATCAGTACAATGCTCTGTGCTGTGGCAGTATTAATCTACATTTAGTTTCGGTAATAGAGTCCCACAGCAGGGGGGGTTCTGAGTTCTGACCTTGCACTGCCACTGACAAAGCTGGTTTAACAGGAATGATCAGAAACCACCTAGAAACTAATTGGTTCCCGATTATTTGCTTGCTATGACTGCCATTTATAAATGATCACTAGTCTGTTTACAATATTACGCTTCTCACAGAGAGAGGCACAGAGACAGCCTGTGAATAAAACTAAACTGATTAATGTTTATAAAAGAAAACATTTATTTATTTCAGGCACTTATATAGCGCCGGCAATTTACGCAGCATATATATATATATATATTAGTACATTCACATCAATCCCTAACCCTCAAGGGGTGTACAATCTAAGGTCCCTAACTCACATTCATACATACACATATTAGGGCCAATTTAGACAGGATCTAATTAACCTACCAGCATGTCTTTGGTTGTGGGAGGAAACCGGAGTACCTAGAGGAAACCCACGCAGGCACAGGGAGAACATGCAAACTCCAGGCAGGCGGTGTCGTGGCTGGGATTCAAACCAACAACCCTAGTACTGCCAGGCGACAGTGCTAAACCATTTAGCCACTAGGAGCTGTAATCCGTTTTAAAAGCTTGTTTTAAAATGATTTGTCTGGTTGGCTGCTTATAATACATAACAAAAAACTATAAGCAGGAAATTTATGAAAAAAGGGCACCAAAATAAAAGATTTATATATTATGACGCTGACAATTTTATGCAGCAACTTACATACTGTAAACACTCAAAAAAAAAGCGCAATTTATATATAACTACCTGCTCTGATCTGTCTTACCCTAAATATTGCTGCTGACACCAAATGTGTTCCCACATATATCAATAATTTACTTGTGTTGTGGGCATACATCCCTGAACACATACTGCCCTAAATGCAAGTATCACTCAGTATATAGTCCAGCCACAGCATATTTGAGTCTGTCATAGATTTTAGGAAACTGACAAGCAGCGGGCTGGATGCTGCACCTGTGCCTCTCACGCACATGAAGATGCCAGGATTGGACACACAAACTCCCAGTGGGCATGTGGCCTTACAAACTACATACTTTGTTCAGTACACATGTGTATTGTTAAAAACACAAGGTAATGCACATGTGTAATAAAAAATTTATAAATAATTCAAGAACTGGGAAATGCCACTCTACCACGTTCTGATGTCCACCTATTAGGCCAATGACCTTGGAGTGCCCATGCAGCAGCTGATTCTGGGATGCTATCATGACACAACTTCCCACGGGTTTAGCTGAACTGGGTTCCAAGAGTTCAGACCGAATCCAGCTCATCTTCAATTGTAACAAATACAGAGTGGAGGTGGTGTCATTGTTGGCATTGTCACATTAAAAATAGTGCACAATTTAAATATAATATCATTCTATTATAGTTACTTAAATAATGTTATCACATGATCTGTTTAATTTGGAAATTGAGAATTGTTGAGCAGAATACGTTACCATAATAAGGCTGTAAGCTTTGATGAATCTGTAGAGTCCAGCTCCTTATTTAATCTGGAATAATCAATAGTAGATGAAGCTCCATTCTCAAGCCTAGCAAAAAATCTCTCCTTTTCTTCTTGCTCTTCTAAAGTGTCCAAGCCAACTCCAGGAGTACTTCGATTAGGTCCATAGGCCATAATGGATTCTATTGAATAAAACAGATTTTAAGTTATCGCCACCATCATGATATTCAATTTACACTATGGCATCGATTTACTAAAACTAGAGTAAAATCTGGTGCAGCTGTGCATAGTAGCTAATAAGCTTCCAACTTCAGCTTGTTCAATTATGCTTTGACAAAAAAAAAAAAAAACCTGGAAGCTGATTGGTTTCTATGCAGAGCTGCACCAGATTCTATATTTGTTGAGTGCTTTTCAATTTTATGAAATTATCATTCTTTTCCCCAATTAACAATGTTCTACTGCTGTGTCCACTTTTTTCAAACTTTGCTGGTTGTTATGGAATATATATTATATATATTTTGACATGACAAGTTGACAAACAAATGGCTTCTGAAATCACCCTGGACAGACCTTAACTTCTAAAAGTATACATCTAGAAGTGATTAATATTCTAAAAAGAAAAAATATAACTTTATGACACAAAACACCTCCCTGCCATTTAGCTTTAAGCAAAAATGCACCAGAGTGGACAGAAAAACATATCTGCACCTTTTTTTCTAATGCAGTGAACTGCAAAAGCACATAGTAGCCATTGGTTCCCGCTGCTGTCAATCAGAGCCAGTGATGAAGAACCAGGGGGTGGGGCCAAACCCTGCTCTCTGTGTCTTATGGAGCTGTTCTGTGCCAAACCATTGAATTAATAAATTAGTGCAGTTACAACTGCTAACTAAATCACATATATTCATGCTACATTGTGTCCAATCTTACATGTCAATTAAGTCATTAAGAGAGCAAAGTGCACATGTAAAGAAATGTTGATAAAGTTAAAGGATAAGTTTACCTTTGGAACATTTTGGGTGGAACATTTAGGGTGGAATATGTAACATGCCTCCGCTCTCCCCTATCCCCCTTCCCTGTGACAGTGGGTGGGGGATCCTCTCCCTGCATCCGCTGTCGCAATTCAATTACAGCATGGCTGTGTGGGGCTCCGCCCACATGATTGCTTCATTCATTAACAGAGTACTATGACTGAATGATCCACATCTACCATCAGCCTCTGCGGCCAATGAATAGTAGTTCTCAATTAACTGCGAGGGCGCTGACAGGTGCTTTCGTAGTTCGTTGATTCTTCCTGTCATTCAGCAACTGTCTGCCCATATGAGGTACAAGCAGATGGTGTACTGAGAGTCTGCAGGAGCCTGGCATGGCCCCCAAGATCTGCTGATCATGGGTGCAATGCTTTACAGGCTCAAGTGTACAAAAATAATATGTGCACGTTTTTGTTTTTTTTTTTTTTTACCTGCAATAAGATGTGCATTTATATATAAAAAGTGCAGTGCTAAAAAGGTATGTACTCCAATAAAATAGGTTATGATCAATATGTACTTCAGTCCAGATAAACGGAATATAAGTAATAAAATATATTAAAAAGATTAAAAATAAAATAAATAAAATGGTGACAGTTCGTGATGAGTGATCAATACAGGAGTTGCTCGTGACTTCACGATCCAGTGGTCTGGTGACAAATAGTAAAAATAAGCACTCACCAGATGCGTATTTTTTAATACGCATGTGATAAACCAGAGGTCCCCCTCATGGGATGGGATGGATGAGCTGGGCCGTCTTAGTGGACTCTCCATCCTCTGTGTATAGAGCAGCCAAACAGTTGTCTCCCTCTAGAAAATGGACAGGGTACTGGGCAGCTTACATCAGGACGTGCGTCATCCTTAGGGTTGGTGTCATGTGTCACAGATTCCTGATGCTTGGGCTCTGTAACGGATGTTAGGCACACAATGTACTTCTTCCATATAATCAGTTTTATTCAAAATAACACCTCCTCCCTTGTCCGCTGGTCTGATAACCAGATCCTTGTGTTCAAGTATTGACTTAATAGCCCCCTCGCAGTTAGAATCATTAAAGGGCCGCTTAACCGTTAGAGTATGTAGGTCCTTAAAGGACCAAATCCTTAAACACATTAATGCATGAATTAGTCTGGAGAGGTGGGTTAAAAGTGGAAGCATTTCTGATATTGGAGTAGTTGTCAGGGTTACTGGATTGGGTGACAGGGTTGCTGGCAAAGTATCTCTTAATTGATAGTTGCCTAGTAAATTTATTAATATCCACATAAGCCTGAAACTTGTTTAGTTTGTTTTTGGGAGCATACTTCAATCCCTTATCTAATAAGGCAAGCTCTTGATTTGACAATTCTACTCTGCTGAGATTAAAAATCCCTTTCCCAATTAGATTCTTCTCTTTTTGACAGCGTCTGATGAAGAAGCGAAACGCCAGAGGGAAGAGAGGAGGACAGAGGGTTAACAGACGCTGTCAAAAAGAGAAAAATCTAATTGGGAAAGGGATTTTTAATCTCAGCAGAGTAGAATTGTCAAATCAAGAGCTTGCCTTATTAGATAAGGGATTGAAGTATGCTCCCAAAAACAAACTAAGATAAGTTTCAGACTAATTCATGCATTATTGTGTTTAAGGATTGGGTCCTTAAGGACCTACATACTCTAACGGTTAAGCGGCCCTTTAATAATTCTAACTGCAAGGGGGCTATTAAGTCAATACTTGGACACAAGGATCTGGTTATCAGACCAGCGGACAAGGGAGGAGGTGTTGTTATTTTAAATAAAACTGATTATATGGAAGAAGTACATAAGATGCTAAGTGATACTAAGACATATGTACTCCTTGCTAAAGATCCACTTGGTGGATACAAACGAACCCTCAAAACTATTACTAATAAGGGCTTCGAGGAGAAGGTCATTACCAAAAAAGAAAAACTATTTTTATGCCCCACAGCACCTAGATTGCTGGTACTATATACACCTTACCAAAAATCCATAAAAATCCCACTAAACCACCGGGGAGACTGATTGTTAGCGGGATAGGGTTGTTTTGCTCGAAGGTTGGACAGTATATAGATCATTTTTTGCAACGTTTAGTTGCACGCACTCCAGCATATCTAAAGGATACAACGCAGGTTTAAATGATATTTAAGATTTAGAAATTACTCCCACTACTTACCTTGTGACTGCGGAAGGGTCTTCACTTTACAGCAACATTAACCATGAAGATGGTATGTTGGCTGCAGATTTTTATTTAAGTGAAGCCGAATATATATCCAATATATACAAGAATTTCATTTTAGAATTGTTGCAGTTTATCAAACCAGAAGTAGTTGCTTTTCATGGTAAACAGTATTACCTCCAGATAAAATCCATAGCCATGGGGGCGAAGTTTGCCCCCCGCCTTGCAAATCTTTTTATGGCAAGATGGGAGGAGGACATGATTTTCGCTAGAGATTGGCCTGAATTATGCTTTTATAGAAGATATATAGATGACATCTTCCTCCTGTGGCAAGGGAAGGAACAGGCCTTAATCAATTTTTTTATCACACTTAATAAGAATTTAAACATAGAACTGACTTATACTTATAGCACCTTAGAATTTAACTACTCGGATCTTACACTGATGAATATTGATGGAAGAATACGCACAAAGTCATACTTTAAAGAGACAGACCAGATCATCATCACCCGAGCTGGCTATCTAATATTCCAAAAGGCCAGTTCATGCTTATTAGACGAAACTGCACAGACCTGGACACATACCGTACCCAGGCTAACACTTTAAAATTATGGTTTACAGAAAAGGGCTATGAAGAGGCTACACTAACCAACTCTATGCAACAAATAGCCAATATGAACAGAGATTACATACCAAATCTCAGAAAAGAGGGAAAAATGTTTTGCCCATTCATCACAACATTTTCAATTCAGCATAAAGCCATTAAGAACATCATACAGAAGAACTGGAATGTTTTAAAAAGCCGACCTAGTTCTAACTCACATTATACCAGATAAACCTGAGGTGATTTATGGAAAAGCTAACACCCTGAGAAATCAGCTAGCTCCGAACGTATCGGATCCGCCTGCACCCATATCGCTTTTTACTAATCTAAAAGTTTTTTTCCCCTGCAATAGATGCGTCATCTGCTGTGGCAGTAACACTAGAAAAACAAAAATACATTCTTTTGCATCTCATACTACAGGTAGGACATAGAATATCAAAAGCCTTATAACCTGTAATAGTCGATATGTGGTCTATCTTTTAGAGTGCCCCTGTAAGAAACAGTACGTTGGACGTACAACAAGGAGACTTAAGAGACCGCCTGAGGGAGCACGTATATGATATTAAAAAGGGCACTCACTCTCTAGGCATTATAGGCCACACCACAATAGAGACCCCACGTCTCTAAAATTTGTAGGAATAGACATTTTTACGTCCCACTGGCGAGGTACCCATAAGAAAGATCTGTATCCCAAGCCGAGACAAAGTGGATTTTTTGAAATAGATTGTCTATAACCCAAAGGTCTTAATAAAGATATAGACCTGAATTGTTTTATTGATAATAGTTGATAATTTTAGTTGCCTTTTTGCAAGTCCTTTTATTTTTTTATGTCCTGGTACTAGCTTTTATACTTCTCTAATGTCCCGGTATTAATTTTTTATTAATTTTAGACAGTTTTATATGTTCTTATCATCATGTCCTCCTCCCTATATATTTTTTATATATATTTTTTCATAATTTTATATTTTTTAATTTCATAATTTTCATCTTTTATGTATCATAATATATATTCCTGTCTTGTATCCTTTCTGGGGTGCACCTTTTATTTAGTTTTAGTGCATCCTATTCGAGTTTTTAGTGTATTCTATTCATTTATCTCGTGTGTTTTTGGACCATTTAATAAATTGTATATTTTACTTACCTTAGTTTAAATTACACATTGGTATGCTGTTAATACTTTTGACGTAGACCGGTATTATATATTTCTGACACAAACTACTTATCCCCCATTGGGGAGGAAGCCAATTGTGGGCTATGTGTGCATATATATTTATATATGCATATACATCTGGGTGGATCATTCCATCCTATATTGGGCAGATGATATGCCTCAACGTTTTATTACTCTGGTAATAATGTTTCAGCCTGCTTCCCATTTAGACCATGGGA